TTGTGTAGAATGGAAATCGGGGTTCTTATTGTTAACTGAAACCATTAAAAAAAATTCATTGCTTGAGATAAACATTAACTGAAATAAATTTTTTTTAAAAATGAATTCATATTTTTTAATCCTATTTTATTTCAACTAGTTGCCAAGGTAACATTTCTCATTGTCATTTAGTTCAACCTAAAGTACAAAAATAACTAAATTAACTAAAATAAACAAAAACTATATAGACATTTAAAAAATAAAAAGTAATAAAAATGACAATACATATATGTAACTAAAATGAGAGTGAAAACAGAAGAATACAATCTAATTTGAAATATTAGAAAAACTATAATCAGTATAAAATGTAGTATCAATTATACTAAAATAACTGATGGAAATAACTATACTGTTATTATATTTTTATTTTTAACTTTTATTTTGTATTTTATTTTCCATTAACTTTACTTTTAGTATATTGCAAAAGTGATATTGACTACTTTATTATGCAATTATCAATTTTTATTTTATTTATTTATTTATTTGTGCTTGAAAGCCCCTAGTAACGTATTGTATGAAAAAAACTGAAAACATTCATAACACTCATATGGCTTTGGAACGCTTTGTAAATTATGACAAAATTTAAATTTAAACTACCTCTTTAAAAGGAAGGTTGCATTAATTCCAGTCTTTAACTCAGCAGGCCTGTTGGTTTGTGTCCACGGCCTCTGTTGAACAGATCCCTGTAGGAATTTGAACATAATTCAGACAGCTTGTGTGTGATGCACACGTTTGCCGAAGGCTGTGAATTGTTTGTCCACTTGCCCTTTGTTTTGTACGTTGACCATTGCAGGGTTTTCTCTGTAGTGCAGCCAATCCATTAACATGCAGTCAAGGCTTTGGATGTAATGTCTGGAACAAATACGAGAACACAGGCTGACAGATGTGATGCCCAACAGTTCATCAATATCATCACAGATCACTCACTGACCCTCTTCACTTTGCTTTTCTTAAACAAGAACGAAATATGACTGGAAACTCACTCCCTGCACGTTGCGATTACTGAGGTGTTATTCATTTATCAGACTGTGTATTGTAAGAGATGGCTGAGAAATGCAAGGCAGTTCACTAGGTTTTCAAACAAACCTATTGTTGTCTTGTTGCATTAAAGCTGACCTCAGGTCAGTCAGTATTGGACATTCACAGAGAGGAATTAACCCATAGCAGAATGGCATCTGCATCGGCTGCTTTGTAGTTTGGATGGTAATGGCACTTTATCATTTGGTAGAACGTCTTAAGTGACCTTCAAGACCTTAAGTTTCTTAAACAGATGTCTTGATTGAATGCTGTCGGCTCAGCTGGAGGTGCTGTTTTTACGTGTTTGGCAGGACTGACCCGAGTCAAACAGCATTTGTGTGGGTTTTTTAGCAGTCAGGCGTTGTGAAATGGAAAAAGCATTTGTGGCTTGATAGAACTCAAAACAGCTATGTAAAGACCCTGTTTCCTCGTCACATGAGGGATATTCCATGTGCCCACACTTTTATATTTGTATCCTCTGAGATAATGAGTGTTGGAAAAAGGGAAAATGTTTTTTTCCCCCAAAGATTCATAGCCAAACATTTATGACAAATTGTGCAGTTTTTGAATTATATACTGTATGTCGATTAGAGCACAACAGGGACCCGCAACTTTTTCAGTGGCTTTGGTTTCTCAAGTATTTTTTCCGTTCTGTTTTTTAATAGGGATTTTTCAAGGCTTCTAAGCATTGCCAAAAAAAATAAAAAATTAAACAATATAAAAACTATTGACTTTTGACAGTACTGTTTGAATATTATAACAATTTAAAAGAACTTATCTATTTGAATATTATTTTAAAATATAATTTATTTCTGTAATGCAAAGCTGGCTTTTCAGCATCATTACTTCATTATCTTCAGTGTCACATGATCCTTCAGAAATCATGATTTGCTGCTCAAGAAACATTTTCTGATTATCAATGCTGAACACAGTTGTGCTGCTTCATATTTTTGTAGAAACCATGACACATTTTTTTATTCAGGATTCTTTGATAATTAGAAAGTTCAAAAGAACAGCAATTATTTGGAATAAAATGTATTAATTTTAATATTAATAAATGTATTTGTTTATTCTAAAAAAATCTTACTGACCGCAAACTTATCAGTGTATATTATATTATATTATATATTTATTTTTATTGCACATATATGCAATATATTAGTGTAAAAAAATCTGAATTCTCTGATTCTCTAATACAGACTTCTCTTCTAGAGCTTAGTATTGATTTCAGCAATTACCATGACACATTTTTTTATTCAGGATTCTTTGATAATTAGAAAGTTCAAAAGAACAGCAATTATTTGGAATAAAATGTATTAATTTTAATATTAATAAATGTATTTGTTTATTCTAAAAAAATCTTACTGACCGCAAACTTATCAGTGTATATTATATTATATTATATATTTATTTTTATTGCACATACTATATGCAATATATTAGTATAAAAAAATCTGAATTCTCTGATTCTCTAATACAGACTTCTCTTCTAGAGCTTAGTATTGATTTCAGCAATTAAAAATTTTTGTCATATGTACTACTTACTTTTAAATGAAGTAAATATGTCATTGCTTTACAACTTGTCCTGAAACATTTATACAGTATCACAAAAAAATCCCTATGGAGAAAAGGAAGGGCATTTTTGCTCCTTAATCTACTGTTGTGATCCATCGCTGTGGCCATGTAAAACAAACGACTTGTCTTGTTTGAAGTGTGACAATGTGGAGCAATTAAAACAGTTCAAAGGCTTGAGTTCTCCTTCAGCTTAAGACCCCATTGAGTGATTAAAGCAACAAACGACAGCCGTCCTTTCAGCTCACGGTGGGGTTACCAGCAGATAATACAGCATAGTTTGTGGCTTTCGGTTGACCAGAGCCTCACCAACAGCTCTGTGTTTTTCTCCTGTGAAAAATTGGTGGCTTTTGAATTGATCTCTATTGCTTTTTGTTTCATTTTTTAGGAGCTGGTTATCATGGGTGCACCTGGTTCTTACTACTGGACCGGAACGGTCAAAGTGTTTAACATGACATCTAATACTCTCTACAACCTAAATCAAGACAACCTGAGTCCTCACAGATACAGTTACCTCGGTAATACCTGCTCAGATATTAATAACCGCTTCAATTTTCATGCTGTAGCCAGTCCGTCACAGATTTGTGTTTTTTAGGGTATGCTGTGACTGCTGGTCACTTCTCCTCCCCGAATACCATAGACGTGGCGGCGGGTGCTCCTCAAGACAGTGGTGGTGGAAAAGTGAGTAGTTTCTTGCAGAAATTGCGTCATTGCTTCCATGTTCTGTTTACATTACACTCACTTTGACATTCCAAAACTACATTGTCATCCATATTTTAGGTTTACATGTTCAGAATCGAAGGAACGTCTCTTGTGAAGACCTTTGAAGCCTCAGGGAAAATGGTGAGTATGATGCTCAGGTTTTCTAATTATTTACAAACGTAATTTATTCCAAATGTAAAATGTTGATATAATCCATCATAGTTACTTAATAGGAAAAGTTATTTTTCTGAAGAACACAGAAAGAGTTGTTTTGGAGAATTTGTAGGGACTGGGACTGTCGAAACCCTAAAAAGGCAAAAAGCATAATTATCTCTATAAAGCCTACTGTATCATATTGATACATACATTTCTAAGGCCTGTGATTATCAACATGATTAAAATTTAGCTAAAATCTTCTGTACACAATCTACTACTGTACATGCCTTCTGTCACCTGATTGGTGTTTTTTTAGCAAGTAAAAACCTTTTAGTCCACCTTCAGGGGTTGGTTCACATGTCTCTTGCTGTGAATAATTTACTGATTTATATGAAGTATAACCTTTATATTGTAATATTTTAAGATAAACACTTACTGGACTGAAGCAACTCAGCTTTACTTGATTATCCATATAATTTTTAAACAAATCAAATGAGAGTATCATCAGTCTTACTAAGACATATTGGGAGATATGAGAGTGACATCTGTTATTTATGTTATTATGTTATGAGTTTTTTGTTGTAGAGTTTTATTAAGTAGTCTGCTATATGTTATAAAGATAATTTATTTTCTTATATATTTTATCTTACTTTTTGGCCATATAAATATCAGCAACTGCACCAAATAAAAGCCTTATGTATGAAATATGATGCTCAGCAAAACAGTTCCATTTAAAAATAAATAAATACATTTAAATTAAAAGGATTTTTCTGACTATTGTTTCATAAGTCAGCCTTTACAGGGTTAAAGTACTATATGTGACTCATGCTCTAGTTTTGTGTGATAAAAGGACAAAAATTTAAGCTGTTAGCTGAAAACCGGCTCTCATTTCTCATTCATCTTCATATACATTCAGCTATGGGCAGAGTAGCTAAATTGTAGCTTGACTTTGAGGTAATGCATCTTATGGAGGAGTGATGTGCCCTGTGCATGGCGTTGTAACCTGACCCGTTTGCTCTTGGCTCGGCTTGGTTTCAGATGGGCTCTTACTTTGGCTCCTCATTGTGTGCAGTTGACCTTAATGCGGATGGACTGTCGGACTTGCTGGTGGGAGCACCCATGCACAGCGAGATCCGGGATGAAGGCCAGGTTTCTGTTTACCTCAGCAGTGGTAATGTGAGTTCACTTACATCTGTGTTACTTATTAAAGGAGTAGTTCATCCAAAAATGAATATTTGCTGAAAATGCCATCAGGCCATCTAAGATGTAGATGATTTTGTTTCTTCATCGGAACAGATTTGGATAAAATGATCAGTGGTCAGACTGAGAGTCCAAACAGCTGATAAAAACATCACAATAATCCAGTCCATCAATTAACGTCTTGTGAAGTGAAAATCTACCTGTTTGGAAGGAAAAAATCCATCATTAAGACTTTTTAACTTTAAACCTTTTCTTCTGGCCAAAATACGAATCCATAATTCATAATAAATCTTCCTCCAGTAAAAAAAAGTCCATCCTCTGTGATCCTCTCACATCAGAGCTGTTTGGGACTTTATTCATTTGTAAATGGCTCCTGATCTGTGCATATTTCTCTCCTGATTCAGACCAGACGTCTTTTTCGCTGGAGAAAACAATGTTATGGATAGAGGACTTATATTTTAGCCAGAAGTTTTAATGATGGATTTGTTTCTTGCAAACATGCATATTTTGCTTCACCATACATTAACTGATGGACTGGAGTGGTGTGGATTATTGTGATGTTTTTATCAGCTGTTTGGACTCTCATTCTGACGGCACCCATTCACTGCAGAGGATCCATTGCTGAGCAAGTGATGGAATGCTACATTTCTCCAAATCTGATGAAGAAACGAACTCATCTACATCTTGGATCAGTAAATTTTTATTTTTGGACATTTTCCTTTAAAGATGCCAATTTTGTCATAAACAACACTTGAATGGCACAACACTATAACAACATTATAAATGACAAAGTTGCATTATGCCATAAATGACCAAGACTTAAATTTGAAGGTAAGTGTCTTCATTCAACTTGACAAATGTTTTGAGTATAAACAATGTTTTTTGTACTTGTTTGTTCAGGGAGTGATGGAGGAAGTTGCAATATTGAACGGTGACAATGCATACAATGCTCATTTTGGAGAGTGTATCACATCTCTTGGGGACATTGATGACGATGGCTACCAAGGTCAGTGTACGAAATTTGTTTGCGCTCAAAATGATTGCACATCAGAGCAAAGCATGAGCTTCCAATACTAAAATCCTTTAACATAAGAAATATTTTGGGTCTGTAAGATAAAAAAATACTTTTATTCAGCAATGCTGCATTAAATTGATCAAATGTGAGTTTTTTTCTGAGAGTCCAAACAGCTGATAAAAACATCACAATAATCCAGTCCATCAATTAACGTCTTGTGAAGTGAAAATCTACCTGTTTGGAAGGAAAAAATCCATCATTAAGACTTTTTAACTTTAAACCTTTTCTTCTGGCCAAAATACGAATCCATAATTCATAATAAATCTTCCTCCAGTAAAAAAAAGTCCATCCTCTGTGATCCTCTCACATCAGAGCTGTTTGGGACTTTATTCATTTGTAAATGGCTCCTGATCTGTGCATATTTCTCTCCTGATTCAGACCAGACGTCTTTTTCGCTGGAGAAAACAATGTTATGGATAGAGGACTTATATTTTAGCCAGAAGTTTTAATGATGGATTTGTTTCTTGCAAACATGCATATTTTGCTTCACCATACATTAACTGATGGACTGGAGTGGTGTGGATTATTGTGATGTTTTTATCAGCTGTTTGGACTCTCATTCTGACGGCACCCATTCACTGCAGAGGATCCATTGCTGAGCAAGTGATGGAATGCTACATTTCTCCAAATCTGATGAAGAAACGAACTCATCTACATCTTGGATCAGTAAATTTTTATTTTTGGACATTTTCCTTTAAAGATGCCAATTTTGTCATAAACAACACTTGAATGGCACAACACTATAACAACATTATAAATGACAAAGTTGCATTATGCCATAAATGACCAAGACTTAAATTTGAAGGTAAGTGTCTTCATTCAACTTGACAAATGTTTTGAGTATAAACAATGTTTTTTGTACTTGTTTGTTCAGGGAGTGATGGAGGAAGTTGCAATATTGAACGGTGACAATGCATACAATGCTCATTTTGGAGAGTGTATCACATCTCTTGGGGACATTGATGACGATGGCTACCAAGGTCAGTGTACGAAATTTGTTTGCGCTCAAAATGATTGCACATCAGAGCAAAGCATGAGCTTCCAATACTAAAATCCTTTAACATAAGAAATATTTTGGGTCTGTAAGATAAAAAAACTTTTATTCAGCAATGCTGCATTAAATTGATCAAATGTGAGTTTTTTTAATAAATGCTGTTTTTTGTTTGCTTGCTATGCGTCAAAGAATCCTGAAAAAATTTATTATAGTTTCCACAGAAATTTAAAGAAAATTTTACAATATATTCAAATAGAACACACGTACTTTAAGTTGAAATAATATTTCACAATATTACAGTTTTCTCTATATTTATGATCAAATAAATGCAGCCTTGATTAAAATAAGAGACTTCTTTCAGAAACATTTAAAAATCGACTCCAAACTTTTGAACGGTAGTTGAACTGTTTTAAATATTGAGCTGTGCAGTGTGTGTTAGTGTACACATCAAGTTGTGTTTATCTGGAATATTCCTTTAATTCAAATGATCACAGAAGCACATGTTGCAAAAATCATATTTCCGCTGTATTGGAGACAGACAGACATTGTTTGTCAAGTAACTGGAAAAGATATTTTGACGTGAAGCAGATTCAAACCTCATGACTAGTGTTCTCACTCTCGATTTTCCTCGCACCCCGCTGTCCAGTCGGAGGCCTGATAAGTGGAGACAGATGTGTCGGATTAAACAGGAAGTGAATCCCCGCTGTCCAGTCGGAGGCTTTTCTTGGCGTCTGGATTCGCTCTTCACCTGATGCATTGCTTGATTGTAGCTCTATTTTCTGCATGTCGCCTCTTTTTGTAATTTTAGTACGGACTGTCCTGTGTTCTCGTACAGTAACTGTTCCTGAAAGCGTTTAGGGAAACTGACCATCACATAATAAACAGACCAAACGCATCCATTAATGTGGCAATGAGACTGTAAGAAATTAGAGCTGATGAAGCTAATTAAAATGGCCTGAGGAATTTCTGATAAGTGGAGACAGATGTGTCGGATTAAACAGGAAGTTAATCTTTCCGGTGTAGGACAGCGAGGCGGTTGGCAGTGCTTAGAACAAGAAACCAATTCAAGCAATCAAGAATCCTTGTAATGAAATGGTGCCGCCTATATGTATTGAGAAGCATCTGTGATAAACTGTTCAGGGGTCAGTGTGGTAGTAAATGTTGCTTTAGGAGGCTGTAACCATAAAGAGATTACAAGAGGTTAACCTGCCTCTTATTGGGTATTTTTTGAGGTCAGCAAGATTTTTTTTTTTCTTTTTTAAAGAAATGAATACTTTTAGTCAGAAAGGATGCATTAAATTGATCAAAAATGACATTAAAGAAATTTATAATGTTACAAAAGATTTCTGTTTTTAAATAAATGCTGTTCATTTCAACTTTCTGTTCATCAAAAACCATTGATATTAATCAGAAATGTAGAAACCAATTCAAGCAATCAAGAATCCTTGTAATGAAATGGTGCCGCCTATATGTATTGAGAAGCATCTGTGATAAACTGTTCAGGGGTCAGTGTGGTAGTAAATGTTGCTTTAGGAGGCTGTAACCATAAAGAGATTACAAGAGGTTAACCTGCCTCTTATTGGGTATTTTTTGAGGTCAGCAAGATTTTTTTTTTTCTTTTTTAAAGAAATGAATACTTTTAGTCAGAAAGGATGCATTAAATTGATCAAAAATTACATTAAAGAAATTTATAATGTTACAAAAGATTTCTGTTTTTAAATAAATGCTGTTCTTTTCAACTTTCTGTTCATCAAAAACCATTGATATTAATCAGAAATGTTTCTTGAGCAGCAAATCAGCATATTAGAATGATTTCTGAAGGATCATGTGACACATTATTTGTGCTTTATTGTATTTTATTATTTTTATTAATTAATTAAATTTTTAATTGTATTTGTTGTCATTTTTATTATTTAATTTATTATTGTGTTATTTTTAATTGTATTCCCTAGTTTTTATTTTATTGCGTTATTTTATTTTATTGTTACATTTTTTCATTTTATTTTATTAATTTTTATTATTTTACTTTATTTTATTAGCTACACATTCAACAACACTCCAGAGACAGTGAATACAAAATCATCCACATTTTGTTTGTATTACTTATGGAAAAATAGTACCTACTTTGTTAGCTTTTATTTTATTTTACTTTTATAACTGATAATAATCAGAAATGTTTCTTGAGCAGCAAATCAGCATCTTAGAATGATTTCTGAAGGATCATGTGACACTGAAGACTGGAGTAATGATGCTGAAAATTCAGCTTTGCATCACAGGAATACATTTAATTTTAAAATATATTCAAATAGAAAACAGTGGTTTGAAATTGTAATAATATTTTACAATATAAATGTTTTTAATTTATTTTTAAAGTGACGTGACATGTGGCCAAGTATGGTGACCCATACTCGGAATTAGTGCTCTGCATTTATCCCATTTATCCCATGAACACACACCCGGAGCAGTGGGCAGCCATTTTTTTTGCTGCGGCGCCCGGGGAATCAAATATTTGATCAAATAAATGCAGCCTTGGTGAGCACTTCTTTCAAAAACATTTTAAAAATCCTATCGATTTTGCATGTAAATAAGCCAGTCTCAGGAAATAAGTCTCAGTCTGTCTCAAATATTGTATAGAATGGCCAGTGCTTCAGATTTATAATTTTATGGCTGTTACAGAAATGTAAAAGTTTCCAAAACTCAGCACATTGAAAATCTGTGGTAGTGAAATGTGTACTGCTGTTTTCATGCACAAGGGATTTTTTTCTGACTCTGTTTCAACCCCCCTGAGGTTTCACAGACCTTTACAGGCTCTCAAAAACACGCAAGTATCCATTAAGTGACTTAGCAGAGCGACTCTCAAACAGAGATGGGCTTAAGGCAAACAGGCATTTATTGGGGTCCTGACACACACAAATCCACCTCCAACGTTTCTATTCCAGCCGTAGGTCTCTGGCAGTCTGACCTAATTCGGCTGCACACTATGCTATTCTGTTCTAACTTTTACGATTGCTGCTTGTCAGACTGTATAAGCCCAATAAGATCTTGAGTAAAAGCCAAGGCAGAGTGTACGACGACTCTATATTATGTCAGATTGTGCAGTAACATCAGCTAAAACTGCTAGCCCATTAAGACTTAAAGACTTGTAGTCAGTGTTGGGTAAGTTACTTTCAAAAAGTAATTAATTACTATTACTAATTACATAATCATTATTGTATTTAAATTACTTTACTAATTACTCTGTCTGAAAAGTAATTTAGTTACTCAATAAGTAACTTAATTATTCAAATCGCTAATTAGGCTACATCTTAAAATCCCTATAAACCTTAAAGCATAGACTCTTTATTCTTTCAATTTGAGTCAAAAATAGAATAGTTTAGCCTTTTAGCTTTAAAACAAGTGTAATACTTAACCTTCTTTGGTTAACAAATAGAAATACTCTGCAAAATATCTGAATAACAAAAAAGCTTAAGAAAAGTTAAACAATACATTTCAGTTTGGCAAGATGTTCAGGAAAAGCCCAACTAGTAAAATCCGTACAGGTTTATGTAAAAATAACACGTTAACTAATGTAGGTAAGAATAAATTACAGAAATGATCTCCTCCGCTGAATAAAGCCCTGTCAGATCGCGCTGTTCTTCTGAGGTAAAAGTAGGTCTTCTTTCAAAAACGATGAAAATGAGATGAATCTTGATTTTTTTTTAATCTATTTTTTGTATTTAGACTCTAAAAAATATTGTTTGGACGCAACAAAAAAAATTTACGTAACACAATATTGATTTTAGAACTGTTGAAATTATTTACAGTATGTAACACAAGTACTTTATAAGTAACTGTAATGAAATTACCTAAAAATGAACAGTAATCCCTTACTTTACCTTGCAGTGGATAAGTAATTTAATTACAGTAACGCGTTACACCCAACACTGCTTGTAGTCAAGTTTATACAAGTTTGCCCAACATTAAAAAAGGTTTTAAAATCCCTCAAAATTGTCTCAAATGACAAACAAATTAGTGGTAAATATTATAATATTACAATATACAGTGTGTACCCCGATTTATTCTGTCTTTCTCCCTTGTTTCCATCTTTCTCATCGACTTCTGTGTTTGTCTTTTGTGCTGTAGATGTAGCGATTGGAGCCCCCACATTATTTATATTTTATTTTATTATTTATTTAGTTGTTATTTTTTATTTTATCATATTTTATTTTATTTGCTACACATACAGCAACACTTGATTCAGAGACCTGAAAATACAAATCCCAGTCTTTTTTTTTTTTATTGTTAACAAAACAATTTTATTATTTTAGTGTATTTTATTTTAATATTAGTTTTTTTTTATTATTTATTTTCTTTTAGAATTATTCTATTTTATCTTATTTTAATAATTGAATGTATTTTTTATTTTAAAATATAAATAAATTAAAATATCTAAATTAAAATAATAATTTAAAACATTTAAATTAAATGTAAATATTATTTTTAAATATTATATTTTTACATTTTATTTCATTTGATTATTTTTTCATTTATATTGTTTTTATTTTATTATTTTATTTTTAATATTGTAGAATTTTGTTATATTTAATTTTATTTGCTACAGAATTTTAATAATTTAATGTATTTTTTATTTTAAAAAATAAATAAATTAAAATATCTAAATTAAAATAATAATTTAAAACATTTAAATTAAATGTAAATATTATTTTTAAATATTATATTTTTACATTTTATTTCATTTGATTATTTTTTCATTTATATTGTTTTTATTTTATTTTTTTATTTTTAATATTGTAGAATTTTGTTATATTTAATTTTATTTGCTACAGATTCAAAAACACTTGATTCAGAGACATGAATACAAATTCCACTATGTGAATTTTATTTTATCATTTATTTATTTTTACGTTGTCAGCTCTCAACAGTACTGTATACTGTAGACCATTCGTTTAGATTTTTCATTTATTTATGGTGCTATTGAGCTTTACTCGTGTCTGTATTAAAATAAATCCGCAAGATTGGTTTAGTTGGCAGTGCATGACTTGTTTTACTGCGAAACCTTATAGCTCATGCAGTTTAACAGTTTGATTGATGGGTAACTAGTAGGTCCAGATGGAATCCACTGGCTTTTGTGCTGAAAAATGCCTTAAATGGAGCTGAGAGTGATACACTGATATTGCTAGCTGAAAGCATAATCAAATTAGCTAAAATATTTAATAAATGAACTACGTGGCATTCCGAAATCTGAGGATGATTTATTAATGATTTGGTCTGTGTGGATGTTAATATTGGCGTTTCTGATTAATTGATGTGATTTTCTCTCTCACCTGGATCGTATGAAGAGACTGTCTGGGCGAAGCATCAACCCCACTCTCCAAATGTTCGGCCAGTCGATTTCCGGCAATGTGGACATGGATGGAAACGGATATCCAGGTTTGGCTTTGCTTTAGACACTTGGCTAGTTCTGCTCGAATGAACACTGAGAATGTTCCGAATTAACTAGATCAAAACCGACCACATTCAGTGAGAAACCGCGACCGGTGCCAGACCACTTACATTGGCCTTCTGCGATCTCCGCGTAAAGATGGGAAACATGTAACGTTTTTACCGACCTCCAGTGAGTTTATTCCATTCTGGAAGCCTCTAAGTATTAAAAGTTAATGCGTAACTTATGACACGAGTGATTCGTCACAACATGTGATCCGATGTGACTGGACTTATGATGTGAAAGCTGCTGTGAAGATGTTTTTTTTTCTTGTGTAAGAGATATTAATTATATGATGGAGAACGTTCCATTGTGCGCTAATCCAGGGAATGCAGATTGAGTGTTTGCTTAATTTTCCTAACCGTTCTTTGACGTGTTCGGTCGGCTCTGATTTCATAGTTCTGTGGCCAGCAAGCATTTTGTTTACAGCATTCCACAGTGGACACACCAATTAAACAAAGACGAGAGAAAATCAAACAAAGGAAGCTTCATCTTTTATTAAAAAAGAAATGCTTGATCTATTTCATGTATAGCAGCTTGCATGTACAATTTTTTTATATAATTAGTGGTCATAATGATTTTTACACAACCCTATGTAATGTTCTGGTGACCAGTCATATCCCTGCGCTTTCCGATTTTTTTTTTTATTGTATTAATTATTAATTATATACTATTGCAAGGTTTTCAAATTTTGAATTTATAGAGCTCTGATTTCATAGTTCTGTGGCCAGCAAGCATTTTGTTTACAGCATTCCACAGTGGACACACCAATTAAACAAAGACGAGAGAAAATCAAACAAAGGAAGCTTCATCTTTTATTAAAAAAGAAATGCTTGATCTATTTCATGTATAGCAGCTTGCATGTACAATTTTTTTATATAATTAGTGGTCATAATGATTTTTACACAACCCTATGTAATATAAAAATTTTATATTTTTAGTTTTAATTTAAATTTTAGTTTGTTATATATATATTTATTTATTTATTTTATATTATTATTTTATATCTCTTTGGATTTGAGACTTTAGTCTTTGCAACTTTACAGATCTTCTTTACGCACCAAGAGCTTGTAACACTCCAAAGAGAAAGGAAAAATTTAAATCGCATCATATGACCCCTTTAATTAATTGATATTATTAAATATTTCTGTATAGCTTATTAATTTTTATGTTAGTTTTAGGTTTAGTATTATAGTCCTTACACTTATTTATTTCAGTTAGTTGCAAAGGCAACATTCTTAGAATGTTTTTTCAGCTTTATCTAAATTACTGATCTCCAGTAGTTTTAATTTTAGTTAAACATGACAACACCGAATTCTACCTTAATGTCTTTGTACTTTGTCAGCCCATAAATAGCATTTTAAAGGTATATATTAGTATTAAAGCTACAAGTTTTGCGCATCTTTTCTAACAGCATAGCATCACAGAGTGCATGAAATCATTCCTGGCCTTCCAGAAAAACGTTATTTTTTGTTTTTCCCATATCAGATGTGACGATAGGGGCGTTCATGGCTGACAGTGTGGTTTTGTTAAGGTAAGTTGTGCACTTCTGAGCCAGCAAAAGCTTGTATTTACATCAATTCCTCATTAGTGTTCTCTGATGATCATCCATTCAGATGTAGCTTTGACCTTATTTGCTGTTGCTTGTGACAGATCCAGGCCGGTGATCTCTGTAGACGTCTCCATCTTTCTGCCCGTCTCGATAAACATCACAGTACCGCAGTGTCACGAGGGCCCTCAGCATCTCAACTGCTTCAACGTCACCGTCTGCATGAGCTTTCGAGGAAAACATGTACCCGGCCACATAGGTGAGTCTCTGTGGAATTATTATTATTATGTTTTGTTTGTTTTGGGGCATTTTATTTTATTTTATTTTTTATTTATGAAGTTCAATTTAATTATTTAGTATTCTTTATTTTTATTTTTATTTATTTGATTATTCATTTGATTATACTTTCTTAATTTTATTTTTTATTTTATTAGAATTTATTTTGTATTATTAACTATTTTATTATTTTTAATATTATTATTATTATTATTATTTCTATTAATTTTAGTATTTTTTATTTTATTATCTTTTATTAATTTTATTTTTATTATTTTAAATTTTATTTCATCGTTTATATTTTATTGTTTGATATTTAGTTTTTTTATTTGTCTGAAATTTTATTTAAATTTATTTTTAATAAAATTGTATTGTTTATTGTTACACATTCAACAACACTTGAATACAAATCCGTATAATCGACAGGTGTCTGCAGACACAATAAACCCATAACTAGATACTCTTTATAACTCTTGTTTTTAACTGAACCGCTGTCTTTTCGCTCTCATGACCCGTGGTGCAAACAGTCCTGAACTGGAGGTCAGTGCATGTTGTGCTAACCTTTATTTCACTCAGTCAACACGCAGACGGGCCTAGAATAGACTATTATGAAATATCATCAAATGTTAGATACAAAAACAGCACTTCACTGAATCACTTTTGGTCCTCCCATAATGTTATATCTGATATCACCAAATACAGTTTTAAAATGACTCACAGAAGTCTTGTTTTTCATTAAATCTAGTGTTTGTTTTTGATTTTTTTATTATTTCTATTTTTGTGACTCGATGAGCTTGGCTGCATGTGTTTGTTTAACTTGACAAGATGGACACCGTGTAGCCTCAGGGATTCGACACGAATGACCGCTTGCTCAACTTTTGGGTGTGGCCATTGCTCGTTTATGGGTGTGGCCTTATGGGAGATGGAGTGTATAAAGGTTGTGTTACATAATGGGAGGTTTCTGGGAAGTACAGAGCACCAGTGTTACTCCACTTGGCACCCGCATTGGAAAGAACTGCAGCACCTTGTGTCTGGGAGACGCCCTGGTTCTGTAGGCCGGAGTGAGCTCATGGTGCACTCACAGCTGGATGCATTAAAACAACAACCCCTGCACTGGTCCTGGAGCCCCTTCCTGCTCGCCCTGTGAGAGAGCAGGGTAATAATAGCTCTTTCTCAACGTCAGGATCGGAGGAATGGTCCCGCAGTTACACATTTGACCTCATCTGGGTGAATTTCACAAAAACTGTCAAGAAATTCATCAAGTTGTGGAAAGAAAGCAGCTATTTCTGGGGCCACGTCCAAGGGTTCTGTGTTTCTTGATCAATTTCTGTTTTTTGGAAAAGCCTGTAGGTGTAGATGGATGAATCTCACCTAAGAGATGTCTGGATCGTATTTAATCCCAAAACCAAAAGAACAAAAAGTAATTATATTTTGTATAAAGGACTTGAAACATTTACAAGATTCAAGATTTTTATTTGTCACATATGCAGTTATATACAGAATTGCAAGTACACATTTTTGGGGCATTGAGCAATTAAAAGCCCACAGTTAAATTTTATTATTTTTTTTTTTTTGACAATTCAGCACATTTCCTTTTCGTTCTCATGTCTGTAATGCAAAATATGTCTTTATTATAATGTGAAAATTTAATATTTGTATTAACTACAATTGTAAGTACACATAATGGTATTTGTTATAATAAATTAAACGTGTTTAAAACTAAATCCCTGTATAACAGTAATGAGAATGATATTTTAATTGCATTACAGTAATGAGAATTTTGGAGGGAATTTGTCAATTTATTTATTTATTTGCATTTTATTCATTTCCTTTTATTTTTTTTATTTATTCCTTCATTCATTCATTCATTCATTCACATTTCATTCATTCATTCATTCAATTTTATTTTTTATTTTTTATTTTAATTATTAATTCAATCATTCATTCATTCATTCATTCATTTACATTTTATGTTATTTTATTTTTGTTTGTTTTTTTATTTTCTAATAAAGTATGACCCACACATTGCTTCATAAGAGTCATCAGTATATTTTATTTTTTATTCATTTACATTTTATATTTTCTTTTATTTTATTATTTTTTTCATTTTCATTTTGGGATGAAATATTACCCACAAATTTCTTCGTGAGATTCATCAGGACATTTTGAACCATGTTTTTCCTACATGCCCTTGCCATTTTCTCAGACTTCCAGAAACTAATCACAAACATTTAACTCTTGGACGTGGCCCCAGAAATGTTCTTGTACTGTTTTCTCTCATTTTGACTTTGACAGTGAGAACTTAACGTCTTACTTGACTTTGTTTTTAAATCCCAGAATTTGCCCCGGAATGCTTCTGATAGCGAGCGTTGAAACACAGCTGTTTTGGAGAGATGTTTACACATTGTTGTCTTACTGAAATGTGGGTTTCTGTTTTTCTCCTCAGAGTTGCTGTACAATCTAACTGCAGATTCAGATAAGAGACACAGAGGTTTGCCGCCGCGGGTGTATTTTGGAAACGGTGGAGAGCAGACAGGTGCTGTAAGTCAGCGTTTCATCCTGGAGATCAACCGACCGCAGTGCCATCAGTACACGTCCTTTGTGAGGGTGAGTTTTCCTCTGATATCCCAGAACTTCATGCTCCGAAGGTTCAGGCTTCAGGGATTTGTCCTTTAAAGTCAGCATGAAAAGAAAATGTACCCTGTTTACTGCCCTAATACGTGTTCCTGGTCTATTCATGTTATCCCAAAGAATAAAGTTATAGTAATCTTTCATAAAACGTTAATAATCAATAACAATAACGCCTACCGGCATCATATTTGCTGAATGAAATGTAATGCTTGTTTCTTACTAATTTTGGGATGCTGATTCCAAAATAGTTCTTGTTTTGCTTTAGTACATCACACTTTCTCACAAAATATCGCATTTTTGCTTTTGACAACCATTTGTAAGGTGAAGAAGGCTTGTATTATCCCTTAATCTGCAGAAAAACTGACACAGAGACATGATTCCCGTCTTCCTCTGAGCCAGTTTACAACTGTTTGTTCAATTCTCCGCTGATTTTCACATATATTGATAATTCAGAAGACATTATTTTATGCCTAATCACAGTTTCCACTTTTTTCACTCCTTTGCAGATTGCAATTGAAATCATACATTTTGAATACCGGAACTTTTGATATTTGTCTGCTTTTGTTATTTTGAAAAGTGCATTTTAGCTGATACAATATATAATTGGAAAAATCTTTATTTTATTTTGTGAAAAACTAAGTTACGGGATATTTTTGAATTCAGCATCATTGAATGAGATAATATTAAAGTGTTTTTTTTTTTTTTATTCTCAAGGTGCAGGGCTGTATAATCATATAGCTGTTAAGTAGATTTTTAGGCCACCATTTTAAATTAAGCAGCCTTCCTAGAAACTTAACCAATAGTTAAGTCTTTAAAAAATTTTGAATTAAGTATTTAAATTTTTTTTATTATTCATTCATTCATTTTTCAGATTAATGTTGTTGTAGAAAAATGTTGCATGTAATGCCCACTTTAAAAAAATCTTTAAAAAATGAAAACATTTTAACCAAGTTCAATGTTAATGCATTCATTCATTTTTTATTTTATCTTATTTTATTTTATTATGCATTCATACATTTTTCAGATTAATTCTAATGAAGTGAAATTTGCCTTGTAACACCTACTTTCAAAAATGCATTCAATTCCTGATGGAATAAAATCCCAGCCTACTTTGTTTTTTTCGTAGATTATACCATTTCATCGGGAAATATGTCATATTACGAAAGTAACTTGGTTGTGAATGCCATTTCATGTTGACTTAACTGTGGCTTGTTGTCACAGAGGTCTCAGTCTGGATGTATCAGCATCACAGAATTCCTGCTGGTCCATGTGATGTTGTTTGCACTTGTCCTCGACTGACCCGCTGTCTTTTCTCTCCCATGACCTGTGCTGCAAACAGCCCTGCACTGGAGGTCAAGCAAACTTTATTGCTGAACTTTATTTTACTCCATCAACATGCGCCAAATAAGTCCATGTGCATTTTTCTGCAATCGCTTTGAAATAGTAATTTTCATTTGTTGCTGTTTGGAAAAGGACTCGTGCTACTTGTGCTTTATTCTGAAGCCATACCAAACTGTGCTGCTGTTTACTGCAGTCTTGCCCTCAAAGGACGTCAGACATATGCATGTGTTTGGTGCCGAGGCTAAAGCTCTGATTGAGTCATGTGGGAGCTCAAAATAGAAGTTCACCTATAATAAAGACCTGTAATAAAGTCTCATCATCAGGTGACAAACAACTACCTTTGAAAAGCGTGCTCTTAATGAAAGACCTTGTTTCGCGACTCTGCTGAGACAGTCGTCATTGTGGCCGCACAGTTGGGCTCTTGTTGTCTGTCTGCTGGTAATAGTCTGCCATCCCGGCGTTCGGTCAGCGTCAGTATCCTCAGGGCGACGTGGAGCTTGAGCTCTAACAAGGAGGCCCACACAGAGCCTGTAAATTTCACTGGCGCTGCTTTATGAGCCTCTGCAGGCCACTTCGCCATAGGAAGGGTTCGCCCCATACCATGCTCCCGTTTCTGCTTTATACGGAACAGCGCATGACACATATGCATTAACCAACAACATACAACCAGTGACAATACAGTGCAGGGTTTGCTGACCTGGTCTTCTTGCGTTTACTCAAGCACATTCACACATGGTTTCCTTTTGCAGATTTAAGACTGATGAGGGTCATTCTACAAAACTGTGTGCCTTTTGTCTTCCTTCATTAACATGTGCATAAAAAATTACTTTAAAACTGAATGGCTAACACTTTAATTTTGTGTATTTTTTTATCATTTTAAATGACTTTTTTAGCACTATGTCTTATATTTTGTTAGGTTTGTCAGTAGCATGTAGTGTCATGACCTTAAGCCTTTAAAAATCACCGTTTTCACTTAAAGTCACCTTTTTTATACAATGACCCTTAAATGGCCTGCTTGAACTTTAAACCAGCGAAGTGGAGATGTAATGCATCTTAATATTTCATCTTGTTTGTAGTCACTGCTTATTGTGTTTGTACATTCTATCAAACACCCTTTCTCAGGCCCTAATGCTGCTTGTTTATTGCCGCGTTTTCATATGGTCTATGAGTCAGTGTAGTTTATTTGACATTTGTGTTTTGAAGCAACTGTGTTGGACAGGGAATCACAAATACAGGTATATATGTTTTAATGGCTGCTTAATGTGTGAGAATTTGAACTTGTTGTCAAAAGGTTGTTCTTGTGTTCTGGGTGGGCAGGCGGATCTCACTGGGTGATCCTTAATGGATCAAGCAGCATAAACAGCCTTCGTCTGAAGTAAAGACACTCATTTATCTGGAAGGCCACACTTGTCTCGGTAGATTTGACGTGAATCCTGTCTGTCAGTGGAGAAACTGAATGTCCCACATCGAAGGGTTTACACGTGTTTCCATCCAGGTTGAGTCTTTATTAGCTCCATGTGGAGAAAACGGCTGTCTTCTCTGTAATCCTCTGGCATAGACTGTTTTTAGTGGTGCTTTGGTGTGTTTTTCATCCTACGCCACTTCAACGCTGCATTTTTTTTGTGCAAACATCTCTCACGTTTTCTTCAGAACATGTAAATCTAATCTGATGTTGAATTTGCACTGCTAATTATAGTATGCATTTGATTATATTTCTAAGTACACAGTATGCATAGCAATGGTGTGATCATAGCAAACACTTTCAGCTTAGTCTGAAGTTAATTGACCTTGTTAGCGCAGCTTAGAATTAACCTGTCAGCCGTATGTAAGTGAGAATTGCGCTGGATTCTTTGTGCGTTTGTGAGAAGTGTTTGCATTGGCAGGGCTGCTCTGTTTAAAGTTTGCGTAAGAAAAGTATCTGTGTCTGTGACGTGTTTTAAGATTGTTTAAACTGATCATGCCAGGCATGGCTTTACTCCGGTTTTATTATGGATATTGTCAAGCTGCTTTTATACTGTATGCACTGGGTGATATAGCAGCTCATAGTTTCACTAGTGTTCAAAAGTTTGGGGTCTGTAAGGTTTTTAAGACTTAAGGAGAACAGTCTCTTTTTCTCATCAAGGTTGCATTTATTTGAACAAAAACAGTAATATTTTGAAATAACTGTTTTCTATTGTAATATACTGTATTGTATTGTGTTATTTTATTCCTGTGATGCAATGCTGAATTTTCAGCATCATTAGTCCAGTCTTCAATGTCATTATTTGTCTTCAGTGGATTATTTGATGAATAGAAGTGAACATCATTTATTTAAAATAGAAATTTTTTGTAACATTATAAATGTATTTACTGTCACGTTTCATAAACCTTTGTTGAATAAAATATTAATTTCTCAAAAAAGAAATCTTACTGACATCAAACTTTTCAATTATATTTTATATACAACTAACTTGCTCACTGTTTTGGGTGACAGTCATTGCTTGTTAGATACTTATTATATAGAAATTATTAAAAAATAAAAATAAATAAATAAAAATTGTGACTTTTTTCTCACAATTTGGACTGCAAGGAATAAAAGCCTTAATTGTGAGATAAAAAAGTCATCATTGTTATTATTATTATTATTATTTAATTTAAAAAAGCCATAATTGTGAGACAAAAACTCAGAATTGCAAGATAAAGTCACAATTCTGAGAAGAAAAGTCTGAATTGTGACATCATGCAAATACCTTTGTGTTTTGCTTTTATTCCATTTCATTCCAAAATTCAGTCTTATTCCAAAATTGCCAACTCCGAATTTCGAGAAAGTCTGAAAAAGTTGCAATTAGCCCGTTTTTATGTTTCTATCCCACGGCAGAAACGGTCTTCCACACTATTACGAATTCCCATACCAGCTAGTTATAAAGTATAAGCCTTGTATCGGTTTGTCAAACAACACTCAAATATGTTCCGAAACACGAGTGTGTTTGTTCAGTCGGCGAGCTCAAAGCAGCACAAATCCCCCGTCATCAAGCGTGATTTGGCTGCAGTCCCGAGGGCCGGTCTGCGCGGCTATCCTCTCATTTATCCGGGTGTTAGCGTCTCCCCGCATGAAGCCAGGACCCCCACTCACTAGCTGAGGTATGCTAATGGAAAGCAGCTGGCTCTCCAGAGGGAACCTTCACTAGCACTACAGTAACGTCACAGCGGTCCGCGAGCTGCCGTGGTGTCAACTGGAGCTCTTTCTCTGGCCCCCCGCTGACATTGAGCTGAACACGTTTAGACTCACTATAGTCCACTATATTTAGCCACACAGACATTGCAGGAGAATGTTTAGATGGACCTGCATACACTGTTTTATTTTGTTAACCTTGATGTTTTTTTGTTTTATTATGTGTAATTTCTATAAATATTAACATGTATATTATACATTTGATACCACAATAGTAGACTTGGTTAAAGAAACTTGATGAATTATATCTAAGGCTAGCTTCAAAGTGGCCAAATAGATATCTGTCGAACTGTATAATAGAGTTGTGTTTATCTTTATTCTGTTATATCTCCAAACAGACACAGTCAGTGAGACGGCCTGCAGCGCTTCCTGTTTAAGAAGGATCATTGCAGCACAAATGCAGAATGAGATGTGATTTAATCAGATGATGTTGCGTACATTTAATTGAACTTATTCTGCTTTTCCAAAGGTTGCTGTGGTTGGTTTGACACAAGCCTTCCTGTGCACAGCGAGGTTAGAAAACTTTGTAAAACCCCTGCATCATGCCAAAGGAAACAAGCATCTACAAGGGCTTCTCAAAATCTAGTAAATAGTCTAGTTATAATTTCCCCCCGCTGGAATAGGAGGCATTACGTAAGATTCTTGTTGATCATTTTAAACATGTTTCTATTGGCACGGCTTTCATACCAGACTGCCAGATGTTCTTTCTTTGGCTATTTTTAGCTAGATAAACTGCATATGTGTTGCACTTGCACCTGAGAGCAGGAAGGTTTTTTCAACTTTTTCTGATCATGATGGATGTTGGAGTTTGTGGATGATGTTGTCGGGAAAAACTTTTAGAGTTGAGTGGAAGATTCGACTGGATTCTTGGCTTACCATTGCCACCCTCATGCTAACCATTCACTTCATCATCTCATGTCATTTTCACAATCCGTGATTCATGTTTTTATGTGTGTTTTCTTCTTGGCACTCCATGCACGTTGGGTCGAAAAACTGCTTGGGTGGATTTTCCGTATTGCATGTACAGGGATGAGTGTTGAAGCGAGTCAGGCCAGGTTTAAATGTCCATGCTGAAGGATGAGGCATTAGAGACTTCAACACTCAACTGAACAGAACCAGATGCAAGGGACAAATCTATTTCCTGTGTTATTGTGGCGGCCACACACACTGTTTTCACTAGTAAAAGGGAAATGGCAGACCCTTTTCTGGACAGTTCACCCTGAATCCCAATGCAATAAATCGGCCTGAACACAGAAATCATTAATTAACTTAACATAAACTTTAAAAAGAGTATTTTGTATGCATGCAATATATGATGTAAATTATATATTCTATTATGTATTGTAATATTTAAATTCTTTTATCATGTACATAATATAAAATAAAATATATTTAAAAAGCAATATTTTTAGATATATATTTTTTTTAGAAAGCAACTATAAATTAAATAATACAGTATATAATATTATGATATGCGTCACGTAAAATAAAAATAGAAAAATGCAGGTATATAAAAAACCATAAATAACAAAACAATAACAAGATAAAAATGTAAACTTGTATTATATATAATATTATAATATACATAATATAAAATAAACAAAATACAGTTATTAATAATAAGTATATTAAAATAGAAAATAATTATTTTAAATAATTATATTTCAAAATATTACTATTTTTAATCAAATAAATGCAGTATTGATGAGCATAAGGGAATTCTTTATATTATATATATGAATTAGATTAGATTAGATTACAATATATTGTACTAAATATGAAATTTTGTACATTAGATCCTGATTATGATGTCATTTTATTTTATATGTATGATGATTGTCAACCTCATTGATTCAGTTTTTTTCCTCATAACAAGTCTAAATAGCTTAGCATCATTTATGCATTTACATTCCAATATCTTGTGTACTAATCGGAGGTTAGTTTGTGCATACTGTACATGTGCCATAGGTGTCACTCACTCAGAGATACCGAACCCATTGGTCATTGTCCCTCATGAGATAGGACTGGGATTTGTAGTAGTGGAGAAGCTAAAGACTTATGACACATGCCTCTGCTAGTTCTGTTTACCATGTTTACATAAACACCTCAAATTCTGCAGGCTCTACTGATGTGTGTGGGACACTTCCACAGCTGGCCATGCAATGAGTACGCTGAGGGAGCCAGTGAGGATTGTAATCAAACGCAGCCCATTTGAAAATGTTCCTCTCCTGCTCAGTATACAACTCTGACACAGTTAAGCTCTCAACACTCAAACACTCAACAGTTTGGTCTGTACTCGCATGCTGAGTTACATAAACTGCCTGTAATGTTGTGGCCCAAACCAAGCTGTCTGTCTGTCTACTACCTACATGATATGCACTACCAAGTTTGGGGTCAGTAAGACTTCTTATGTTTTTAAAGAAGTCTCTTCTGCTCTTCTAGACTCTTTCAGTCATTTTGGATGACTTTCTTTCAAATCTAATTGCCTTATCTGTCCTAAATTTGGCCTAAATTAGGCATCTTAGAAGGCAGTAATTTTAGAGCTGTATTCAAACATCTGCAATACCATGAAATGCTGTCCAGGTAGGCTGCTTACGGAGTTTTAGAACAGAGTGAAGTGTCACACAACACTGATTCTATTTCTCAAACGCACACATACTGTGTCAGATCGTGCAGTGCTTATTTGATGGTATTCATAGCACTGACCCAGTGAGAGCAGAGGACTAGGCTGTCTGCCACACTACCGGCTTTGTGTTGCCACATATAACATAACGCTGCAATTCCTCCAGTGCCATTCCACGGGCTTCATTTACGCCCGGCCAAGAAAGCTGATACAATGAATTCACACGGCAGGAAGGTAATCATATCCAGCTGTCTCCCATTAAACATGCTCACGACTCCAGCACCTATTTATAAAACATGGTGACAGAAAAATACTAAAATGCAAGAAACCCACAATACCGACAATAAATGTCGTGGAAAGAACTCGGAAACAGTCAAAATGGCAGAAAACTTCATATGAAGTAGCAAAGTGTCTGTTTAGTTGCTTGCTGAATCCAGGGAAAGTAGACAGCTTGGTGCTGTATCTAATACTTGCATTTACATTCCAGATATAATATAATACTTTTGAAGCTGGGGTTTTTATGCATGTAATAAATGAAGCTATTCATACAGACTTGCTGTAGAGAACATCCTGAGGTACTCCTGACGGTCATCATATATATATATATATATATATATGACTGTTCCCTTCTCTTCTTTGGTGGTGGTGTTTACACCGTGTGCCGTGACTGATCACTTCACTGGGGCCAGTGTTCATAAATTACAACAATTTAAGTTTGGATAGTGCACCTGCATGCCTATTTTTAAAAATGGGGCGTGACAGTTAAGGGGTTAAACCAAAAAATATTAAAATTAATTTTAATACAAATATAAAAAATGCTCATCGTAGTATGTGTGAATTTCAAAATATATATATATATATATACAGTATATATATATAAATTTATGACTGTGTGTAATATATATATATATATATATATACAAGTTAAAATATATTTTATTTATTTTATTAATTAAATGTTATATATTTAATATAAGTATCATAATATATAATAAAACATATTTTAAATATAAAATGGGCCACAGAGAAAGGGTTTGGTTGTACACCAGAAACTATGTCTCGAGCAACATTTGCATTATGAGAATTGTCTCACATACGTGTGCATTTCATCAAGCACACATTGTACTGTTACTTTTGATTTTCCGTTTCCTAAAGCATGATTTTGGAGGGTCTTATTTATATGGTCTGATGACATGCTGTTTTGTGCCTGGTGTTTAACACCTGACTTCTCTCCAGTGAATGTTAAACAACAGTCACACCAGTGACTCACTCGATCTCATGCACACCCTGGTTGTTGTTGGAATTGTATGTGTTTTTCTACTGGAGTGCAGTGGTGGACTACCTTCGGTGCAGAGGCTCAAACATATACACATATAGCAGTTTATTTTACGTCTCTCAGCCTACGCGCTGTAGATTTGGAGATTGTATCCAGGCTGCAGTGATCAGAACAATAGACCCAGAATAACTGCACTGTAACAATGGAGCAGTTTTATGAGGCCTGATCTCATCAGACACAGGAAGCATCTGTTCAGGATGAGCTGATGTTCACAGAGCTGCTTCAGCACGATCATACAGAGAGATAAAGCTAATAGACTGTCTGCTGTTGAACAACAAACATTCAGTTTAATCTATGAACAACTGAATTTACGTATTGAAATTTCAGATCATATCACATAGGCAAAATAATTTTTTATGTCTTCTAGATTTAACTATTTGATCTTCTGTGATGTATTCTATTAAATATACTATAAATAGAATATTGAATAGATATAGATAGATAAATAAAATAAATTCTTTACAAATGTTTTGTTCACGTATTATTTAGAATTATGTATTATACAGCGGATAAAATAAGAATTGAACGCGTCACCATTTTTCTCAGTAAATATATTTCTAAAGGTGCTGTTGACTTGAAATTTTCACCAGATGTCGGTAACAACCCAAGTAATCCATACATACAAATAGAACAATACAAATAAGTTCAGAAATTAAGTTCTGTGTAATAAAATGGAATGACACAGGGAAAAAGTATTGAACACATGAAGAAAGGGAGGTGCAAAAAGGCATGGAAATCCAAGACACCAGCTGAAATCTTATCAGCAATTAGAAAGCAATCCTGCCCCTTGTCAGTGGAAATTAATATTAGCTTCAGTCCCAACTACACCTGAGCAATGCATACGACTAGTTTCTCCATACAGGAGGCATCTTGAAGCTGTCATTACCAACAAAGGCTTTTGTACAAAGTATGAAATACATTTCAGTGGTTCAATACTTTTTCCCTGTGTCATTCCATTTTATTACACAGAATTTTATTTCTGAACTTATTTGTATTGTTTTCTTTGTATTTATGGATTACTTGGGTTGTTACTGACATCTGGTGAAAATTGCATGTCAACAGCACCTTTAGAAATATATTTACTGAGAAAAATGGTGACGTGTTCAATACTTATTTTACCCGCTGTATATGTATATGTTAAGTATAAATCCCATATCCCACAATGCAGTGCGCTCAACTTGACCTTCCTTTTCTGTGCATTTTATCTTTTTTTCTTGCTTTTTTTTTTTTTTTACATCAGCTTCTTTACTTATTATTATTTGGAGAAGCAAGAGTTAATTTTCCTAACAATATTGTATCAAAAATACAATTTCCTAGTTTCCTACAAATGGTTATTCATTTCCTAGATCACTAGATTTCACTTATCATCACATGACAACAGTGTTCATTACTGTTTTTTAATGTTTTATAGCTGCATAACATAAATGATTTTGCATGTTATTTTTATTAAGATAGAATCTGAGGTTTTATTAAAAATGGAATATTTAGATACATTATTCAACATAAGGAAACTCCTCTAACCTCTTTTGTTGTTGTCGTTCCTGTATTTTTCTTAATAGAACTGAAAGCAAACATCCAACAGCGGAAGCAGAAATTATTTTAGTCTCCTGTCAGTTTTGATAAATGCATTATAGATCTAAAGCCGCACGGATATGATCTGATGCCTTTCAAAATTACTGAACGTTGTGAAAACAGAAGGTCAGCTTCTTAAAATACGTGATTTTTATGCTT